CATCTATCTATCTATCTATCTATCTATCTATCTATCTATCTATCTATTATGAACACTACACTTTGGTTTTGAATTTCTGGACTAATCTTTCATCTCGCTGTTTTGTTCCCTTCCCATTTTCTATATCCTTTGTTTAGCAGACAGAGTATTCACACTCTGGTATTGGCAGAAGTAAGACAGTGTTGACAGTAGCAGGGCAGAGGTATAAGCTAAGTAGAAATATAAGTTATGGTCCCAAACCTGGTGATTTAAAGCAGTCATAGTCATTAAAGGGTGAATTTGTGCAGTCATCTTTCTACCACCCACACCCCCTTTTACCCCATAGTTGTAATGACAAAGACAAATTATATACATAGAATGGAGAAAGAACACACCAATGAGACAACACAGGCAGGTGAGAAGCAGGGCACAATTCTTATGTCTTTTTCTCCTTTAGGAAAATCACCAGCGTGTCAGCGTTTTCTTTGACTATGCGAAACGTAGCAAGAGCACTGCTTGGCCGTATTTTCTGCCAATGTTGAATCGCCAGGATCCCTTTACTGTTCATATGGTGAGTTTGGAGTTGATGACATTGTTTTATGTGTGTTGTATACTTTTCTTGTCACTTTGACAAAACAATTGCAAGGAGCCACTTGGGGGAGGAGAGGTTTATTTGAACTCACAGTTTTGAGGGATTGTAACCCATCATGGTAGGGAAGACTCGACATGTGGCAGCTGTCTGCTCATATCTCAGATCAGGAAACAGTGTAGGGAAGCAGGGCCAGCCTATAAAAATTGAAGCCACTGTCAGTGACCCACTTCCTTCAGTGAAGCTTCCCCTCTTAAAAGTTCCATGCTTTCCCCAAACAGCATTGCCAGCTGGGGACCAGGGTCTCAAACCCATGAGGGGGTGGGGCACATTTCACATTCAGACTACAACATGCACATATGTGCACACAAGATATAAATAAGAAGCGACTTGAAAGTTTTTAGATTGATTTATAAAATTGTGGTCACATTCTAATGTGGGTAAGAAACAACCTTGGTCCATTTATGACTTAGCTTATGTGCTTCTAGAAGAGGAACTACTTTCCTTAATGGTACTGAATAAAAAAGAGATGTGAGCAGTTAAAGGCGATAGTGTTGCTCTCTTACAGTTATGAAGTTTTTAGATGAATGAGTTGATCAGCATCCAAATACTGGGTGAGTTTATGTGTGAACTGCTCCAGATTTTCCATATAAGGAAACCACATTTACTGTGTAGAAATTAAATTTTGCTTTGAAATAACTATTGTCTCATATTTTCAGTAAGTAATTGACTAGTTTTTAATATTTTAAAACTCCTGTTTTGATGGCTGTGTTTGGAACCCCAACACTGAAGACTATTTTATGGTATCCAGCAGGGAGACCCTGTCTCAAAAAGACAAAAATGAAAACCTGCATTTTTTTTCAGGAATAATTATTTTTGTTTGTTTGTTTGTTTTTGAGACAGGGTCTCTCTGTAGCCCCAGCTGTCCTGGAACTCACTTTGTAGACCAGGCTGGCCTTGAACTCACAGAGATCTGCCTGCCTCTGCCTCTGCCTCCCAAGTGCTGGGATTAAAGGCGTGTGCCACCATGCCTGACTCAGGAGTAATTTTTTAAACAGCAAGGCTGTGTTTTCTCCTGATTGCAGAGGTTTCTTTTCACTGCCTGGATGCCTGCTTTAAAGTCCTCCTAGTGTTACACAGCTGCTGTAGATATAGTTAGGACATGACTCATTGAATGTGAAGCCATATCCAGATTAACTCTTTGTGATTTGTAGTGCTGGTGATTAAAACCAGGGCCTTGAACACGTTAGATTAGTATTCTGCCACTGAGCTACATTCCTAGACCTCAAAGTAACCTTCTTTCTTTTCTTTGAGGAAGTCTCAGGCTGGCTTCCAACATGCTAAATAAGTGACAGTGACCTTGGGCTATTGCTCCTCCTGCTCCCATCTCCCCTGTGCTGGGATACCAATGTGCACTGACATGCCAATTTTATTCAAAGCTGGGAACCCAGGGCTTTATGCATGCCAGGAAAGCACCCTACCAACTGAGCTACATTCCCCAGTCCCTAAATTAACTTCTTGATTTAAATTTCTTCTGGCTAGTCTTTCAAACTGCGAAAGGTGTTGGGTTACCATGTGCTGATGGAGTTTGTGTTAGAATAGGAATGTCAGGTGTTGTATTCTTCTGTCTTTTCCATTTTTGCTTGTACACACACAGCTAAGATATTTTCAGTGCCTCAGTTCCAATAGGAATCCTAAATCAGTTGTCTATTTCATTTATTTGTTTATTCATGTATTTATTTGTATGTGTGAATATGCATGATGCACATGCCACAGTGCATGTCTGGAGGTCAGAGGATAACTTGGGAGTTGGTTTCTTCTTTTGCCATGTAGGTTGGGTCCTGAGGTTTGTTGGCAAACACTTCACCACTGAGCCGTCCTGCCCGACTTCTGTTGTCTGCTGTCAAGTTTTGCTTGTCTTAAAATGAATCCATTATCTTTTTTTTCCATCACGTGTAGCCCAGGCTTGCCTCAAATGCACGATGATCTTCCTGTCTCAGCCTCCGCAGTGCTAGAGTGCTGGGATTATAAGTGTGAGCCACCACCTTGGCTCCAAATATTACTTTTGAAATGCTAAATAATCCAGGGACTGTTATGTAATTTCTTAAAGCTTTATTTTTTTCAATTATAGGTATATGTGTGTGTATGTGTATGGGAGTGTAAGTGCCTGTGGATTTCAGAGTCATTGGGTCCCCCAGAGCTGGAGTTCAGGGTGGTTGTGAGCTGCCCAATATGGGTGCTAGGAGCTGAACTGGTGTCCCCTGGAAGAGCAGTGCACCCTCTTCCTGGCTGAGCCATCTCCCCAGCCCTGATAACTATTTTTTTTTTTCAGTAATTGTTATAAAAATCATCCAGCAAAGTGGTGATAAGATTTGACTTTTAAGGTTTATGATGTGATTGGTATTCAGATGTATTTCTCTTTTTTTTTTTTTTTCAGGCAGCAAGAATTATTGCCAAGTTAGCAGCTTGGGGGAAAGAATTGATGGAAGGCAGTGACTTAAATTATTATTTCAATTGGATAAAAACTCAGCTAAGTTCACAGGTAATATATTTCCTTTAGTATCTTTGAAAGAAATATAACATCCATGTTCTTATAAGGTATTTATGGCAAATATGTTAAATTACAAAAAGTGTTTTGCTAAGATAATGCCATTTTGAGCATGCTAAGTCAGCCCAGCTGCTGTTGGCTGTGGTGATAGGCTTTGCCTTGGTCTCTCTGACTGGGTTCATAAAGCCTTGCCACTTGGGGTCACCTGCTCTTTCCCTGCCAGTTGGGGTCTCCTGCTCTTGCTTCTCAGCGGTTGGGCACTACCTTCCTTCCAGGCGGTTACCAGCAGTGCACAGCTTGGAGCACTGATGGGATCTGCAGAAAGAACTTCAGTGAGTGTGTTCACATAAAGCTCCGGATATAGGAAAAGAAGTGGTGCCTCGGGAGAGAAAGTGTGGGTGAGCTTTGGAGCCAGAAGCCTCCAGGTGCAGCTCCCATCTTAGCCGAGGAATTTGAGCCACCAAAGGCTGTGTGAGAAATCTTGGTTTGGGAAAGAGCTCTGGAGGATTTCTGGTGAGAAAAGTTACCCTGTTTTCTTCACATAACCAGGCTAAGCTGGTTGCACCAATCAATAAATTGATCTTGGGTGTTGCCAGAGGAGTTTGAAATTGTAGTTAGCACATTATAGACCATTAGTCAGTCTGCTTGTCCTTGCCTTGGCCAAGAGTCTGCACCAGGCTTCCAGGTCCCTGAGCAAGCCCGAGTTGCCCAGTCCAGCTGTGGTGTAGACCTGTCTTACACAGTGGCTCATTACCCACGGTATTATAATGAGGCTGTGGGATTAGACAGTGAGGCCCACAGTAAGACATGGCATGTGCATGGTGCTCACCTTGGTTGCTCCCAGGTTTCTCTAGCTCTGCTTTTCTGTGGGGAAAGAGAACTTATTTGGGTAATGTGTGGGAAAATGACAAGTTATCTTCTTGGTTCCTTAGAATAGGGCAAGAGCAGTGCATTTAGATGGTTCTGTGAAGTGTTTCTTTTTGACTACCAGTGGCTGTTAGGTGGTAAGTTGGAAGTGTGGTAGGACTGGTTCTTAACAAAAGGAAAGAAATGAAGGTTACATGGGGAAGAGTGTTCTGGGGAAGAAAAAGTAGAACTTGTGGGAGTGGGTGACATAGAGGAATTAAAGTAGGAAAAATAATATTTATAGCTACTGTATCATCAACTTTAGGTTACAAATAAATATTATTTTAATAGATTGTAATTTGAGGCATGTGAAACATCTGACATTTTGCTCCTTTATTTGTCTTCTTGCCTGTCTTTTTGCGGGGCCAATGCCCTTTTATTTGGGTAGAGATATTTTAGAATGTTTTGAATGAAAGTAAACCTTTGTAATGTCAGCGTTTACAAAAGGCTTAATTTTGCAGTCTTTAAAATTAAAGCCATCAATCTGCATATTTTACTGAGTTGGTGAGATACCTAAAAAGTATCAGAAATGGGTATGTGAAAATGAAATTTCAAGTTTCTAAATGCATATCATTTGGAGTCAGAACGCTTAGGTAGATAGGAAATACTTCTTTCCCATTTTCTTTTTTCTACTTTGAAGTTAAGTGTACTTTTAAATGAACTTCATTTTGTTTTAGCTTAGCTTTCTTCTGAGACACGATTTTAGCTGAATTCTTTAAATGAAAACTGGTATGGAAGAGGGCAGCTTCACTGTAGAATTTGCTCCTAACAGTGCTGTTTACATCGTGCCTCGGAGATGAAAGGTCCCCTGGAAACGACTAGCATCTGTGCAGCGCGTGCACAGTTGTAGGCATGTCCAACAACTGGGGGAGAGATTTCTCTCCTAGTGGGAGGAAGTATTTCAAAGACTCGAAAGTTTTCATTAGAATTGAACTTCTTGGTCTTAACTTTCTTCAGGGCCTTCTCTCTACCTTTCTGGTGCACAGTCTCTGGCTTTCAGATGTGGCTTGACGTTGCTGCTTTGCAAATCTCTCTGTTACAGGGGCCTGCCTAGGGCACCAAGTGAAGTCTTTGCTTCTGAGTCTGGTCACTGTCTCTGCTTGGCTCTGCTCACACTGTCTTTCTTGCTTTGGGCAGAAAATTCTTCCTTTAGTTTCTATCTGGATTAAATTGTAAATTTCATGTAAAGAAAGTTAGCATTATTTGACATATTTTATTTGTTACCTTGCTAAAATGTCTTTAATAGTACTAAATGTGACTACCATGTTTTCTTTTGTGATTCTAGTAAAGATAAGTGTTCAAAAGCCCAAGTTAGTTGCAAGTTGGCATATTTTATTCACTTACTTTATAATGGCAACTTTTGCCCAATACTTGTAGTTACAAACAAAAGAAAATATTTTCTTTCAGAAAGTCCACCATCAGTTTCTCTTGTACTCTTAGTCCTGGACTTACCCTGCATTTTCTTTGGTGGTTTCTATGTAACATTTGAGATATGGAATGTTGAGATCATGCATTGGCATTGCTGTGCATATCTTCCTGTCATCAGGCATCTATTTGAAAAAGCTTTGCCAAAACTACAGATGGTGGTAGTGCAGGGCACTCATTTAACAGGAAACCATCCAGTTAGTGGGTCCTGAGAGACTAGGAAACCATCTAGTTAGTGGGTCCTGAGAGACTGGGAAACCATCCAGTTAGTGGGTCCTGAGAGACTAGGAAACCATCTAGTTAGTGGATCCTGAGAGACTGGGAAACCATCCAGTTAGTGGGCCCTGAGAGACTGGGAAACCATCCAGTTAGTGGATCCTGAGACACTGGGAAACCATCCAGTTAGTGTATCCTGAGAGACTGGGAAACCATCCAGTTAGTGGATCCTGAGAGACTGGGAAACCATCCAGTTAGTGGATCCTGAGAGACTGGGAAACCATCCAGTTAGTGGGTCCTGAGAGACTGGGAAACCATCCAGTTAGTGGGTCCTGAGAGACTAGGAAACCATCTAGTTAGTGGGTCCTGAGAGACTGGGAAACCATCCAGTTAGTGGGTCCTGAGAGACTGGGAAACCATCCAGTTAGTGGGTCCTGAGAGACTAGGAAACCATCTAGTTAGTGGGTCCTGAGAGACTGGGAAACCATCCAGTTAGTGGGTCCTGAGAGACTGGGAAACCATCCAGTTAGTGGGTCCTGAGAGACTAGGAAACCATCTAGTTAGTGGGTCCTGAGAGACTGGGAAACCATCCAGTTAGTGGGTCCTGAGAGACTGGGAAACCATCCAGTTAGTGGGTCCTGAGAGACTAGGAAACCATCTAGTTAGTGGGTCCTGAGAGACTGGGAAACCATCCAGTTAGTGGGTCCTGAGAGACTGGGAAACCATCCAGTTAGTGGGTCCTGAGAGACTAGGAAACCATCTAGTTAGTGGGTCCTGAGAGACTGGGAAACCATCCAGTTAGTGGGTCCTGAGAGACTGGGAAACCATCCAGTTAGTGGGTCCTGAGAGACTAGGAAACCATCTAGGAAACCATCCAGTTAGTGGATCCTGAGAGACTGGGAAACCATCCAGTTAGTGGGTCCTGAGAGACTGGGAAACCATCCAGTTAGTAAATCTTGAGACAAGTTTTTGCTAGCTTCAATTGTGAAATAAATTTATTTATTTATTTATTTATTATTTATTTTGTCCTTCAGATTATTCCATTTTTTTGTAATTCTATTAAGATGCTCTCTGGTGGAAGATAATGATAGCTAGAATATTTTTTATTATCTTCATGCCCTTTATAAAATAGAATTAGGGAAAATAATTATAAAATTCATCCAGCTCCTTTTGTAAGCTGAAAAAGCTATGGGTAAAATTAAAAGCAAAACTAAGTAATAAGTCATTTATTTTGTAATAGAAACTACGTGGTAGCGGTGTTGCTGTTGAAACAGGAACAGTCTCTTCAAGTGATGTAAGTACATTCTTTCTTAATTCACTGGCCTTCTTAACACCCTGAAAACAAATTGTTTTGTGTCATAGGCATTTAAAATTTTGAAAGTGTTTGCTAGTTCCCAAAACGTAATTCTTGGACCTAATGTGTTACCCACTTCCAGTTAGACTAGTTCTGTTGCAGAACACTATATCAGTATTTATGTTTCATAGTGATACCTTTCTTTTAGATGGGAAACATGAGCCTTATCCTTTCTTGTTGCTGTCTTTTCAGGTCACTTTACTCTAGATCTCAGAAACAAAGTAAGAGTGTGAATTCAGGTACGCAGCAGCCACGTCTGCTGTTCGTGCCACACTGCAGTTGCCTGATAATCTGTCTGACCAAGAGGTGCTTCAGTTGACAGGAATTCCATTAACCAGTGGCACAAAAACACTTTTGCTGCTCAGATCTCTGTGTGCGTCGTGTGGCAGCCAAACCTGGACCTTGGACCCGTTTAGCAGTCAGTCTCTTCCCACTTCTAGGAGGGTAAAGGTTAAGGATAATTATGGCTTGTCAAAACTTTTTCTTGGCTAACATTATCTTTCCCTTTTGGAATGATTTGACTCTGCTATGTTCCAGTTACTCAGGAACTGGCAAAAAGTTTGGATAAATAAGGATGCTCAGAGCCTGTTGAAAGAAACGTTGGGGTGAAAGAAGTGGTGAGGTGTATGTAGCTTAACTTGATGGGGTTACCGATGGGGCACCGGAAAGCTGACTGTGGTAGACCTAAGTGAAGCTGGCTAAACAATTTGACATCCACATTGATTGTTGTCGCTGCCATAATCTGAATGGAATATACCTGTATGCTTGTTCGAAGACTGAAAATACCTCACAATCCACTTTGAAAGCCAACAGACAAGCTTGTCTTCGGGATATAGATGGAAAGATTTGATAAGTAGTGTGTTAGGCCAGAAAAGGAAAACTGATGTGGACTCTAATCAGGGTATAGAACTAATGAACATTCTTTTGGGGCCAGAGTGGGGAGAGAGAGTAGTCGGCAGCTAGGAGGTGTAGGTATTGCGTCTAAGCAGTCATGTGAATTGACTCTTCATTTCTTATGACTTGAGTTTCTACCAGTGTGAAATTTTGAAAAAGTGTTTATTTGTTTTAGGTATTTTCAAAAATAATTTGTCTTTCAAACTTGTTAAAGTATCTGTAAGTTGTTAAAGCTTGCATAGGAGAGATAGGCTGTGTTGTGTGACACTCTGTTTTGCACTTTTCTATCCATTGTATTGGAAAGAGAACTGGGTGAGTTGGTATTGTATTAGTTTGTAAGTGGCTTATCTGGTAGAGTCAGGCACATAAATCCCAAATAGGATTTGTATCATAGGCAATTGTGAGGAAGGACACTTTCCACCACATTCTTTTTTAGTGGCCCCCAGACCCAAGTGTATTCTGACCTCTCTTGGAGACTTGTGTTTCAGGTGGATATCAGTTAGCAGAGCAGACTTCATGTTGAGTGGAGTGTTAGCCTTTCTTTTGTTGCTCTTTGTTTTAGTGGTGAGTCAGTGTGACGGCTGTTTACTGAGCACTTCCCACATACCTGCCACTGTGTTACTCATGGTTCCCTTAGTAGCCACCCTTTTTTTTTGATCTAGGCCAGGGTGTTGGTCACATTTTATGCATCCTGTAGCTGATGAGTGTTAGAAACACTAATGAAATAAATTTCTTAGTGAGAGAATAATTTTGGAGGCAGCTTAACTGGAATTGAATATTTAGGCATTGCTCCAACTAACATTGCATGTTCAGGGTTTTGATATATCATTATTATACCTTAAAATAGCTTTTAAGCTGTCAATGTGAAATGTTTGGTAAACTGCATTGTGTAACATTGCCACTTGGTGGCAGTGTAAAGCAAAAGTTTACACTGCAAAAGGAGACCAGTGCAGTCTTAACCTTTCAAAAATGTCCACAGAAGCATCATCATTTTAAGTTAGGAGTAGATCATTACAAATATTTCAGTTTAATTGAAAATACATAGATGAAATGTCCTTGAAACATATCAGTTTGTCTTTACATGGCTATGAAAATGACTGATAGCATTGGATTCTGTCTCCTCTAAGTTCTGTGCTGATTTTTAGTGCACATTCTAAGTCATCTCTTCTTCTAACAGCAGCACAGCTGAAGGTGGACTTCTGTGCTGTGGCCGTCACCAAGAGTGCTGTGGTCTCTAAGCTGTGGAAGGCTTAGAAAGACTGGGTCAGAAATGTTTGCTTCCCTCTGATTTTTGCTTTTCCTCCGCCCACCTTTGTGGACCTTACGCCTGTGTAGAACAAGATAGCTCCCGGCATGGGTGTCTGGCTGTGTCCTGTAACCTACTGTTGATGCAGACCTGTCTACTGTTACTGTTCACTGGTAGAGAGTGACTTAAGTCTCCAGGTCTTCCTTCTTGTTAAGACTTGCCTCTTGGCACTCTGGAGCAGTTCTGTCTAATAGAACGTCCTAAGATGTTGGAAGGCTTCTGTGCATCTGTCCTGTCCTTTGTGGCAGTTACTGCCCACATGTGACTCGTGTGAATGAGGAAGTAACTTTTCAATTTCATTTAGGATTTTAAAACATAGTCTTACTGAAATATAGTTCACGAACTGTAAAATCCATTCATTGGTTCAGTGACTTATATTTATGGAATTGTATAGGCACAATCTAAATTCATAATGACTCAACACACCACAAAACAAGAAGACACCCTTTACATGTTAACAGCCTTCCCCATTCCTTCTCTCCTCCTCAAGCCCTGGCAAATGCTCATCTACTTTCTGTCTTGGAGTCATGTCTTTTGGACTTTTTATGGGTGACCCTTTATTTTCTGTGGCAGGCTTCTTTCATTTGGTGTAATGTTCTTAGGGTTCATCCATGTTTGAGCACATAGTAATAGCATTATAAGACTAGAGGGGCACTGAGCACCCTGAAAGTTGAATTTCTTTAGGCACAATTCTTCAGTTGTTTTCTGTGGCAGTTTGGAGGTCTTTGCTAGTGGGGATTGGTTTTGCTGCTTTGTTTTTAATTGGATGCTGTGATTCTTTGCAGCCATCCAAAGAGGCAGGGCTATCTTCTATCTTGTTCTTCAACGTAGCTCTTTACTACTTTGTTGGCATGTCTCTCAGAAATGCTGCCTAAGTAGCAGGTATCAGTGGGCGGCCTCAGGATTTCACACAGTGCATGCCTGCTCCAAATTGTGGTCTGCCCCAGAGTAACCAGTCAGTAGTTATGAGGTTGTGAGTGAAGACTGACAATATTAAATGGAAAATCTCAGAAATAACTCAGAAGTTTTAATAAATTTTATGTAGTCTGTTATCACTTTCATTATTGTTAATTGCTTACTGTGCCTAAATTATAAGCTAAACTTTGTCACAGATACCTACCTATAGGAAGATAGAAATCCAGCACACACACAGCTCAATGCTATGTAGCATTAGATCTGCCAGGGGTCTTGAAACATGATGGAATCGGCGACTGTGGTGCTAAATGCAGTGTTGAGTACAATGCTGTCTCTTACCTGTCTTTTTGAAAGTGTAGCACCAATGACAGCAATAAGGTAACCCATTAGATATTAGATATATTTTTGGAATTGTGTGTAAAGCACTGATTTATAAAGCTTACCATGTTTTCTTATGCCAACAATACCTTTTCCTTGAAATAGGTTCCCAGTAGTAATATACTTGATTATATTGTATAATTAAGCAAATTATATTGATTTGAATTGTATGATTAAGCAAATTATATTGATTTGAAAGCACTGTTGAAGATTTATAAATTAATAGTGAAATTACTTTTTGTAAATCTATATTTTAATTTAGCTTAGGTATTTTGTGAATTTTGACTAAAGGATTTCTTTTTATAACCCCATTTCAAGAGAATTCTTGACTGTATGCATCTAGTTCCTGAATATCAAGTGACAGTAATAGAGAACCTTAAAATTATGCAGTGCTTTATAGAAACTGATTGCCGTTTGATAACAGCTATATCTATATCTGTATATATATATATATATATATATATGTATGTATAAAAAATTTCACTACATGACCCTCACTGGCATGGGTAGAACAGGCTGATATACAACAACTCTGTCCTCAAGTTCTGGGATTAAAGGTGTGTTCCACCATGCCTGCCGATAGGAGATTTTTAATTTTGGTATTGCTGACATTATTTTCCTTTATTGGTACTAAAACAGTTTTGACGTAGTTAAGTGATTGTCCCAAGATAATGTGATGAAACTTTGACTCTTGTTCCAGGATTTATTCCTCTTCTTTCTGTTCTCCTTCCTTTATTTTTTTCTCTTTATTTGTTTTTTGGTGGCAGTTTGGGGGATGGAACCAGAGTCCTCAGGTATGCCTAGCAAGTCTATAACTACATTCCTAGCATTCTCTGTCCTTTTAATGTCATAACTTAGCATGTATATACAGTTATTAGACAGTGAGATAAGGTGTATCATGGTTCACCCTATTAAGGCTTTTTCACCTTCCCTCCTACAAAAGTTGTTATTAGAGTTGGTATGGTCTTATTTTGAGCTGCAAGTAAAGGAATCTGAATCTAGTTGCTCAGCATTGTGTCTGTGGTATTCATAGTGCATTTGCCAACATTTCTTCTTGCCCTATGGTAATTGATATTATGAATAGTATCTTATCATAGATGGATATTAGTTTGCCTCAAGTTTTTTGGTTATTGTGACTAATCTGCCTGTGAGCATTCTGGCCTACAATGAGCAGTTCCTGCTCAGCCTCCTGAGTACTGGGATCACAGGCATGTAACTCATGCAGCATGGCATCTTCTGTTATTTTTTTAAAGTGTCTGATAGAAACAAAAAAAAAAACCTTATATACATGTATTTATACTAATCCTACTAAGAGCTGTTTAATAGCCATGAAACATTAAATTCTTCTGGGCCTGTTAATCAGTTTCAGTGGAAGAGAGGCATGGTGGTTTGAATGAAAATGTCTCCTGTGGCTCCAAGTATTTGGACATTTTGTCCCCAGTTGGTG